ATTACTACTGCTCATTGACAATGCACCTGGTCACCCAAGAGCTCTGATGGAGATGTACAACGAGATTAAAGTCGTTTTCCTGCCTGCTAACACGACATCCATCCTGCATCCATGGATCCAGGAGTGACTTCACCTTTCAAGTCTTATTTTAAAAAGACATTTCATAAAGCTATAACTGCCATAGATAATGATTCCTCTGATGGATCTGGGCAAAGTAAATTTAAAACATTTTGGAAAAGATTCATCACTTTAGATGACATTAAGAATATTCATGACTAGGCCAGGTGCAGTGGTTCACACCTGTAATCCCCGCACTTTGGGAGGCTGAAACTGGCGGATCACGAGGTCAGAAGATCGAAACCATCCTGGTTAACACAGTAAAACCCCGTCTCTACTAAAAACACAAAAAATTAGCTGAGCGTGGTGATAGGCGCCTGTAGTCCCAGCTACTCAGGAGACTGAGGCAGAAAAATCACTTGAACCCGGGAGGTGGAAGTTGCAGTGAGCTGAGATCATGCCACTGTACTCCAGCCTGGGCGACACAGTGAGACTCTGTCTCAAAAAATAAATAAATAAATAAATAAGAATATGTATGACTCATGGGAGGAGGTCAAAATGTCAACATTAACAGGAGTTTGGGAGAAGTTGATTCCAACCCTCATGGATGATATTAACAAGTTCAAGATTTCAGTGGAGGGCCAAGCACAGTGCCTCACACCAGTAAGCCCAACATTTTGGAAGGCTGAGGTGGGTGGATCACTTGAGGTCAGGAGTTCAAGACCAGCCTGGCCAACATGGTGAACTCATCTCTACTGAAGATACAAAAAATAGCCAGCGCATTGCTGGTGCATGGAATGTCAATCTACATGTGTTAGGAGCTGGAGGCAGCAGCTCACTTGAACCCAGGTGGCAGGCAGGTTGCAGTGAGCTGAGATCACACACTGCATTCCGCCTGGGCACAAAAGAGCAAGACTCCTGTCTCAAAAAAAAAAAAAAAAAAAAAAAAAACACAGCCAGCGCTGGGCACGGTGGCTCACGCCTGTAACCCAACACTTCTTGTGCAGCCCCAGTGGCAGATCACCTGAAGGTCATGAGTTCAACGACACCTGACAACCTTGGTCGAGAACCCTCGTCCTACTCTGAAACTATTTATCATAAACATTAGCCGGCCGGTGGCAGCGTCACCTGTAATTCCAGCTATTCAGGAAGGGCGAGGCAGGAAGAATTGCTTGACCTGGGAAGGCAGAAGTTGCAGTGACTGAGATGGCACCATTGCACTCCAGCCACTGGTGACAGAGTCGAGACTGCCATTTCAAAAAATAATAAAAAAAATAAAAATAAAAGTAAAAAGGTAGAAATACAAAATACCTACTCATTGGAGGCCAGGCACGGTGGGCTCACCGCCTGTCAATGCCCAGCACTTTGGGAGGCCAAGGCGGGCAATCAACAAGGGTCAGGAGAATCAAGCCATACGATTTTTAATGGAGAATGTAAACAGCCTCTCATTGGAAGAAATATGCCATCTAGGACTTTTTTTTTTTCTTTTTGAGGACAGAGTCTCGCTCCTTGTCACACCAGGCTCGAGGCAGTGTGCACAAGTGGCTGTCCTGTCACCCCACGGCTGGAGGTTTGCAGTGGAGGTGCAGTGCCTACAACGACAGTGAAACCCCAGCCCTCTACTAAAAAAAAATACAAAAAATTGGCCCGGGCAATGAATGCGCGGGCGCCTGTAGTCCCACCAGCTAGACTCAGGAGGCTGAGGCAGGCCGACATGACCGTAATCCGGGAGGGTGGAGCTGTGCAATGATCCCAAGATCATGCCACTTCCCTCCAGCCTGGGCAACAAAGCGAGACTCCATCTCAAAAAACAAAAATTAGCCGGGCTTAGTGGCTGGTGCTTGTAATCCCAGCTATTCAGTAAACTGAGGCAGGATAATCTCTTGAACCCAGAAGGCGGAAATGGCAATGAGCTGAGATCATTGCACTCCAGGCTGGGTTACAAGAGTGAGACTCCATCTCAAAACAAAAAAAAAAAGACTTCAGTGGAGGAAGTAACTGCAGACATGGTGGAAGTAGAAAAAGAACTAGAATTCAGAAGTGGAGCCTGAAGATATGACTGAATTGCTGCAACCTCATGAATGGATGATGGGTTACTTGAATGGATGAGGGGTTGCTTCTTACAGATGAGCAAAGAAAGTGGTTTCTTAAGCTGGAACCCACTCCTAGTGAAGATGCTGTGAACATTGTTGAAATGAGAACATCAAAGGATTAAGAATATTACCTAAGCCAGGTTCAGTGGCTTACACCTGTAATCCCAGCACTTTGGGAGGCCGAGGCAGGCAGATCACAAGGTCAAGAAATCGAGACCATCCTGGCCAACATGGTGAAACCCCATCTCTACTAAAAATACAAAAATTAGCTGGGCATGGCCGGGCGCGGTGGCTCACACCTGTAATCCCAGCACTTTGGGAGGCCGAGGCAGGCAGATCACAAGGTCAAGAAATCGAGACCATCCTGGCCAACATGGTGAAACCCCATCTCTACTAAAAATACAAAAATTAGCCTGGGCACAGTGGCACGCGCCTGTAGTCCCAGCTACTCAGGAGGCTAAGGCAGGAGAATCGCTTGAACCCGGGAGGTGGAGGTTGCAGTGAGCCACTGCACTCCAGCCTGGCAACAGAATGAGATTTCGTCTCAAAAAAAAAAAAAAGAATATTACCTAAACTTAATTGATAAAGTAGTAGCAGGGTTTGAAAGGATTAATTCCAATGCTGAAAGAAATTCTACTGTGGATAAAATGCTATCAAACAGTACTGCATGCTAGATAAATGTTTTGTGAAAGGAAGAGTCCATTGATGTGGCAAGCTTTGTTGTCGTCTTGTTTTAGAAAATTGCCATAGCCACCCCCAGCCTTCAGCAATCACCACCCTGACCAGTCAGCAACCATCAACATCAAGGCAACACCCTCCACCAGCAAAAAGACTACAATTCACTGACGGGTCAGGTGATCATTAGTATTGTTATGAAATAAAGAATTTTTAATTGTTTTTAACATTTTTAGACATAATGCTATTGCATACTTAACAAACTATAGTATAGTATAAACACAACTTTTCAAAAAATGTGTGACTCACTTTACTGCAGTATTCACTTTATTGTGGTGGTCAGGAACCAAACTTGCAATATCTCTGAGGTATTTTTCTTTTTTTTTTTTTTTTGAGACAGAGTTTTGCTCTGTTGCCCAGGCTGGAGTGCAGTGGCACAATCTCAGCTCACTGCAACCTCTGCCTCCCAGGTTCAAGCAATTCTCCCTACCTCAGCCTCCCAAGTAGCTGGGTTTATAGGCGCGCGCTACCACACCCAGCTAATTTTTCCATTTTTAGTAGAGACGGGGTTTTGCCATGTTGGCCAGGCTGGTCTCAAACTCCTGACCTCCAGTGATCTGCCCACCTTGGCCTCCCAAAGTGCTGGGACCCGCTGGTGTGTTCATTTTCATTTGAGTCCTTACTGTGCATTAGGCACTGTTATAAGTATTTTGTACATGAGTTTACTCATTTAATTCTGGCATCCAAATGCTCACCAGGCCTGACCCTGCTTAGCTTCCAAGATCAGAAGAGATTAGGCATGTTCAGGGTGGTATAGGAGTAGTCCATTTAATTCTCATAAAAACTCAGTGAGGTAGAAAATATCAATTCTCCCCTTTATAGAAATGAGAAAACTGAGGTACTGGCAAATGGAGGGATTTGCATGAAGTCACACAGCTAGTAAGGGGCCAATTCAGGATTCCAACCCAGCCTGTCTGATTCCACAGACCTTGCGTCGCCATCCCCATCCTGAGATACCGCCCAGTTGGGTCGTTCACTGCTCTTCAGAAGTGTTTCCCCCAGAGGTGTGGGTGACTATTGTCCTGTAGTTCCTATTGTCATTTAAACTGTTGTTTACTTAACAATCCAGTTCATGCCAGAGCCGTGGAGTTCTAACACTTTAACACTTACTGTGTCCTTGGGTTTAACTCTCTGAGCCCCTGTTTCCTCATCTGTAAAATGGGGATAAAAATAATAGGCTGGCTGTGAAAATTAAAATGAGATAAGGCATGGCAAGAGCTGAGTACGGTGCCTGACACACGATAAGCGCGTCATGTTTCATGAGTTAGTTGTTATTGTTGTCATTATCATTGCCGTCATCATCATTAGATCCTTCTCATTCTCAGGAATACCCAACAAGGGAAGAGAAAGAAATGGGGCGCTGAGTCTGTGCCTTGGGCCTGGCCCCCAATGGCCTAGAGCCTGGCACCTGAATTGGGTTATAGCATCCGAGGACATGTTGTTCTCTACGGGAGATGCTCAAGGGAAGGAAATGGGGTCAGCAGCACCAGCCATGTGCCAAGCATTATATCCAGTCCCCAAATCCCAGACTCCCAAAAGTAACAGTTGAGATGTAAGTATGGCTAATATTTTCAGGGATATTTGGGAAAAGATTCCCAACCTGCCTCCATTCAAGATTGCTACAAAAATCAAGAGACACTGAGATACCTCCTCTCTGTGAAAACATATGGAAAACAATCCTACCTTTTGTAATTCAAGAACATTCATCAGTGTGTACTATAAACTGGGCCCTGGGGAAGCCCCACCCTCAAAAACCCATGGTGAACCACCAATTCCCACTAGGCCCTTGGTTCCAGTCTCAGAGAAAAACGGCAGGTGGCATGGCCTGCTGCTGTGGCCTGAGGAC